AGGGTTGTTTTGGTCCGATGACCGGGCCCATCCGCACACCCTCTCGCCGGGGCCCAAAGCTCGCGGGACCGCAAACGTCCCAAGCGACGCGCTGCTCGCCACGAACGACACGAGGATAGATAGCCAGGATGTGCGGTCTGTTTCGGCAACGATTGAGTAAGAATGGACAACTAATTTGTTTCATATCACAACTAAAATCGTTAGTTCAGCTTGTTATTTATTTATTTATTTATTTTTATTTTATTTTACTTTTTATCTCTTTATTGAATTACAATCTGTCTTCACAAAAAGGAAGACATTCACTAATTTTGATGATATATGAAATATTAAACATTAGATCTAAAAGGTTACCCAGTAGTAAGCCTTTTTAATTTTGATATATTAGATTTAAATTTTGTGATTATATAGAGTAAACTTAAAAATGAAATGATCTATGAGGTAAATGAGTATAAATTGTGAATTATAAGCTTGTTATTTATGGCAAAATAAAAGATTCATAGTTCATAAAGATAATAGGCATCAGCTTTGCGCATAATAAATGCACATACCAAAAAATATTTTCAATAACTCATTATCTTATCAAATCTTACTATGAAGTAAAGCGGGATTTAAAGATCCGTCAGTAAAAAGATCCGCCACCGATATCTCAAAAACAAGTAATATTAAGAATTTTCTAACAACAATATTTGAAAGTAGAGGGCAAAAATGTATAACCTGCCATCACCTTGATTCTCACGACGTCGCTATCGGGTGATAAACGACAACGTTTGAAAATTCATATCAAAAGCATTTTCTTTCGCCGTTAGTTTTCCTGGTTGTGAGCACTGTTCTTTAGTTTATGAGTCCATAATATCATTTTAAAGTATATGTTGTTTAGTTGTTTTATAAGATGTGTTATTAATTTTAAGTTAGATTCAACAGTTTTTTTATATAGGCTCTATACAGGCACATACGTGGGTAGGGTAATAAGGACCAACAGAATTATTACTCTGTCAGAGATGTAAACAATAGAAAATAGTGAATAAAAAAATAAACTAGTGGGGTGTATAGCATCGTGCCTTAAGGCAAATTGCTGGAACTTCCCGTACCGTAACGAAATGTTCGAGAAATACTGAATGTTTTCAAATAGATTATTATTAATATTGTAACATTGTCTAATATTTATAAGAATTATATAAACTGAATTGCAAAGTTGACATTATTTGTTTTGAAGTATATTAGAACTATAGTCAGAATTAAAAATAAAATCTGAATTATTTTTGATATACAAAAAAACTAAAAAAAAAACAAAAATAATTATTTTGTTAAAACAAGCTAAGAGTTCTTTGAATCATTTAAATTGGACGCTTAGTTCTCTCAAAAACTGTAATTTTTTGCACATTTAGCTCTGTATCTTCGAAATGGCTGGGCTTGTCATTGCCAAAAACTAATAATCACTTCTCCCAATCATTACTAATTGAATGTTTTTTAGATCATTCAAATCGGATGCTCCGTTCACTCAAAAACTCGATTTTTATTTTCTGCATTCTTTGCTCCGTATCTCCGTAACGGCTAGACCTGCCTATGCCAAAAACTAATCAGATCTCCCTATCAATAGGAATCGAATGTTTTTTGAACCATTCAAATCGGTTGATTCGTGCGCCCGAAAACGTGACTGGAAATTTGTATCCATACATACACACACACATCCATTTTTTCTGAGATATGCCAAAATGTTCAGAAACCTTCAAAACGTCTAGAAATGAAAAAATTTTCAATTTCGATTTTCGGCCCATTACAATAACTTACCCTACGGAAAGTTAATTAAGGTAAAAAAAGCAAATATTACAGATACATAATATACAGATAAATTAAATAAATAGTTATTGCAACTGCGATGATGAATATTTCTCACAAAATACCAGATCAAGGTTATATGCAGTGTTATCCATTGGTTGAATACGAATGTAGCAATCATTTTGTAAAAACACTCTAAGATTCAAAATCCATTCCGGCTGTTCCATTCTGGCTGTTCCATTTTACTACTCCTATGAGGTAAAGAAGGAAAAGATGCCACAATTTAGAATTATAGTACAAAAAAAGCATTTTTTTAATTTGGAATTAACTGGAAATTTTACTACACATAGTTTGATAGTTGTTTGTTTGATATTTTTTATGTGTTGTGATGTTGTGTATTTTATTTGGTTTAGACATTATAATTACAAAGTCAAATTGGATATTTGTGCTCCGCCTTATTACTATTCTGAATCTTATAATTTTTTTGCGAATATTACATGACAGAAAAATACATAAAATAATGCTATGAGTTTCGTATTTGTTATCTAATTACGTTTACCAATTACGTACTTTCTAATTACAAAAATAATATCACTTTGTTTTTCAACTGCAAATATCTTTATTTATACAATATAAGATAAAATGTAAATGGTATGTACGATAAACTTAATATTGAATTTAAGCATTCAGATTATTCTAATTTAAAAAAAAAATAAAATACTGAACTTTAACAAAATTAAAGTAAATAATGAGAAGTAAATATCTTTTTTGTTATTTAACATTTTCACTGCTAACTTTGTATTGCTTATACTTCCTCCTGTGCTATTTTTTTTAGTATTAAATAAAACCATTTCTGGTCATGAAATAATGTTTAAAAAAAGTAGCTTAAGTAGGACTATTTCTGTTTGAAATAATTACAGTTCAAAATTTCAATTCAAACAATTTTTTTTTACTAAAAACATTACTCTGAAATGTAAAGAAGACGAACGCACATGTTGCGTTCAACGTCTGGCTAATGACAACGGTCTATATAGAAAGTATTAATCCTATTTTTAAAATGTCTATTTTTTATTTTAAAACGTGTAATAAAAATAGCATAAGCATGCTTTAATAATGTAATTAATACTATTGATGTAAAGAAAATTAAATATATTTTGAAAATATATAGTTGCAACGCAATAATTGGTTATTAATACGATCTTCATAAATGCTAATGCTACCACCAACACACAGTTTTAGGGATCCAAGATAGCTACATGATTATTTTTTTTTAATTTAAAAAACATCTTTATATAATATATCAACTGTATTATTTATTTAGTATTATTAGTAACAAAATGATCTATAATACTGTATCTTTGTATATGATACTACATATTACTAAATACAAAAATGAAGCAAGTATAAACTCATATAAGAAAGAGTTACTGATCACATTATCTAATTGATAATAAAATGATGGTACCAGTTTTTATAGATATTTTTCCTATTAAAATTTTCTATAAAAAACCAAGCCCAACACGATGAAATTAGTATCAATATGTTGTATAAAATTAAGAGGCACTGTTACACCCGACAGAAATGAGTCGACGTGGGGATAATACTGAATCCTGACACGCTACAGGACTATTAGGCTGCTAGATTACCGGATTATTACCTTTTACCTATGTTACCTATGTTCCATTTAATATGTGAATGTAAAGCATCAAAATGATTTACTAAAGTCTGTCTCGTCGACCTTTTTAAATCTACTCCCAAACATTCATTGTATCATAGATTTATTAACAAAAATTTTTGAAATCAAATTAATTAATAATATAGATGAATGATAATATGATATAGAGATGAATTGGAGCTTTTCACAAATATAAATATATCAAGCAATAATAGCTTCAAATTTATCAATTTTCGTATTCTTCGTATCAATAATAAGAATTTTTGTAATTGCCAAATTGTTTAATGTATATCTTGATTAATATAAAAAAATCACACCTGCGGTTAATTAAAACATATCGGTTTTATACAGTTTTATAATATAGTTTGCTAATTCATAACTTGTATATTTATATCTATATGTACATACATATTTACTTACATACAGATATACATACAGATATACATACATATATACTCATATAATATGCATACATATGCATACATACACATATATGCAGATTCACATATACATACATAAATACATATACATACATACATACACGTAGACTTTATAAAAAAAACTATGATAATTAAGTAACATAACATAATACTTTGGTAACATAATATGACTTTGGTGATATATATAATTGCACAAAATATAATAATTATATACAGATTTAAGAGAGATTGGATGGAAAACAGAGATTGTAAGCTATGGTCACATGTTAAATTGAGTTACATGAGATACTATATTTTAATTGCAGTTTACTTTGATTTATGATAAGAATTTCTATGATATAACACACCACATTTTTTATGGGTATTAATTGTAGCTTACGTTGATTTATGAAAAAAAATTCTTAGCAATATATCAATTTTCTCAGAAAAAATAAATTATCAAAAGTATTATTGTCGATTTTAGGCATAGCCCCAAACACGGGGTAAGTTTAAACGCCGGACTTTTTTTAAAAAAAAATATTAATTGTAAAAAAATGAATAATAGTTATAGAATTATTTTTATTAGATTTGATAGAGGAATAGTTCTAGCATCTATTCATTTTTATTTCATAGAAATATAATCAGTAAATCTCAAGATATAACTATTTTAAAAAAAGTGTTACATCTAGCGCCTAGCTGCTCTATGTATTTTAATAATTTGAAAATATATTACTTAATAACACATGTCAAAATTCTGAAGGTATTGAATAAATATTCTTCTAAATCTTTGCTTAAATTGATTTCTTTTTTGATAGATTGTTAAATGAAATAAGTGTAATTAATATAAGTATGTAAAAAATTATTATAATGTAGAAAGCATTTAGAATATAAAATCCACATTCGAATGATTTGAATCATAGAAACCCTGATTCGACTTGAATCAAGCAATTTGCCCTTCGACTTGAAAAAAGCCCCAATGACGAAATTATTTAGTACAAGAGATAAAAATGTATGATGAATAATTGAGTCGAGTTTGATCAATTTACTCCATAAAGTAAATATTATAAACCCAAATTACTATCAAAAGAATATATTACAAAAAATATTCTATTCAAATGTAGTCCGCTTACCTCTTTATAGTAGATTTTTATCATGTATTTAGCGCCATTATACTTCGAAAATATGTTGAATAACTGGAAAAACGTCTGGTAAACCTTTGTCCTTCAGCTTATCCATGATCCCAAATGATTTCTGAAAATTTAATCATTTTAATAGATTAACACAAATTTCTTTATCGCATGGTAGATGTACATGAGATAAAATGAATATATTATAAAAATAAATTATTCCCATTTCTGCCATATTTTTTCTAACAATTTAATTATCCGTGATGTAACCCCATTATCATCGTCCTGTTAATTTAATAAAGTGAATTGTTTGATAGCCTTTTTAATTTTCTACAATAACTTTTTATTACAAATAGCACGTTAGCCGTAGTAGTAACATTCAAACTAGAAACGAAGGATAGAAAATTAAATGCCGTTTATTAAATTAAAACACTCGCAGAATATAATGTGCTGCGACATGCGACATTATATCGAAATATTTCGTGGAAAATATATTCGACGATGAATCAGTATACCGAGAATACGAGTAGGCTTATTTAAAATATATGCAATGAACTAATTAGACAACCAGCAAGTAGGCAGAAAATCATCACCATTGCTAATCCAAAATCAGCTATTATAAAATCATAATGTTATAATATTCCAACAAATTGATTTATTACGCTATATGAATAGATTTCTAATGTTCAAGTAATAAAAGAAAAATTATATATCAATTTAGAATGCGCAAATATAACAAAAGGTATAAAAATTGACGAGTGATGGATTAGGTTTTACAAGTTAAAAAACAACTCTAAAAATCAGTAAACCAGGTAACTAAATATTCGAAAAATATTATTCGTTTTGTTTCAAATAAATAATAATAAATATTGTGACTTACATAATTTACATTTTATAGACAAAATATAAGAGTTTATAAATTGAACTATGACATTCATATACCTATACATAAAAAGTAAATATATAAAACTTAATCGAATCAAGTAAACAGGCAATAAAATTATTTATTTGAAGTATAGTATATAAGTGAGCTTTAAGACTTTAGCTATAATTAAAATTAAGAACCAAATAATTGGACATAAAAAAAAAATTGATTTTTTTTTAAATTTTGAAATACATAAATCTAAAAACAACCGTTTCGTTAACACAAGCACAAAGTTTTTTGAATCATCCAAATCGGATGCTTCGTTTTCTCAAAAACTGATATTATTTGCACATTTAGCTCCGTATCTCCGAAACGGTTGGATCTGTCTTTGCGAAAAACTAATCACAATTTCTCTCCATCATTACGAATTGAGTGGTTTTTGAATCTTTCGAATCTGATGTTTTCTCTCAAAAACATGATTTCAGTTTTCTGCACTCTTCGCTTCGTAACTGCGAAACGGCTCGACCTGCCTTTGTCAAAAATTGATCAGCACGTCTCTCCATCAATAGGAATCTAATGTTTTTTAAATTATTGGAATTATTATTAATTTAAATCGGTTGATTCGCTAGATAGATTTTTTTGTTTCAATTCCATAAATTTAAATTGGTTTTGAAAAAATGGCTTAGTCTTGAATAATATGTTTTGATGGAATAACATGAATTTCAATCAGAATGAGACTTATTAATTTCTTAACTTCTCGTAGGGTAAGTTATTGTATTCGACCAAAAATCATATTTTTTTTCCATATCTTCACGTTTTGAAGGTTTTTGAACATGTTGGCATACCTTAGAAAAAATGGATGCATATGTGTGTGTGTATGTATGTGCGGATAGAATTTTTCATCGACGATTTTGAATCAACCGATTTTGATTCGATTCAAAAAAAAAGATGGGGAAACAAGCTGATTAGTTTTTGGCAAAGGCAGATCTAGCTGTTTTAAAGATACGGAACAAAAAATGTCAAAAGTGGTAATTCAGTTTTAGAGACAACGGAGCGTCCGATTCGAAAGAATTAACATTTTATTTGCATTGACGAAATGAAAAACTGATGAAATTTTTGAGAGGGCAGATCCAGCGATTTCGGAGATTAAATTTAATAATAACAAGAAATTTTGTTCATAATTCTGTGGGTTCCGCACCGTTACGCGCTTTGATAAACCGTGGCACGATTGCTTTGACAAAAAGTTCAAAACCAAAAAAATATCAAAAATTAAAAACAACTACATAATTTCATTAGAATGTAAAGTAATGCTATGTAAAGAAATTCATTCACGATTTACCCTATGGCCCGACAACACGTTTAAAAAATGATTCCTTTGGAGTGTCGTTGTCGTAAATTGGACTAACTAATTACATACAATGAATTTTAGCGTTATCGCTTTCTTTCCGTTTGCTGCCAGGGGTTGATTACAAATTACGAGGCCATCAATCGCGCGGCTCTCGTCCCAATGCACACGGTTGCGCTTTATCGCCGGAAACTACGACAAGTTAGTGCACCGGAGTGCGTTTCTTCAACAGACGAAAAGGCTTCGAGCTAAAAAAAAATTGAAGAGAAACTAATTGTTCATATTGAGAATGGTTCAAATGTAAAGAGTCACATACAAATCTACACAAAGTGTATGGTGCGACCCAATGACGGGATGTATGAAAACATAGCCATGTCACAAAAATATGTAAAGAGCCATAAACAATGCAAAACTCACGTAAGCAAATATCACTTCACATATTTTAATTTGTATATAACTGTTTATGTTATTATAGGAGAGCTTGTGAAATAGAACAAGACTTCACTTGTGTCTATGTCTATATACACTTTACAAATCTATTTTTCGTAATAATATTAATTAACTTACATCCGATTGAATGATTTAAAGAACTTTCTGCTGGTATTGACGAAATAATTGATTCTGGAAAAAAATTCATTTCAATTATTTTTTTAATTTTTTTTTTTTTTTTGAATATCGAAAATAATTCAGATTTCAATTTTAATTCTGGTTAAAGTTCTAAAGCTCTCTTATATACTTTAAGTGAATAAATTTAATTATTCAGTTTATATAATTATTATAACTATTAGACGATATTACCGAATTGATAATAATTTGTTTGAAAACATTTAATTTTCCTCGATCATTTCGTTACGGTACGGAAAGTTTCAGCAATTTGCCTTAAGGCACGATGCCATACACCACTAGTTTTGCTTATCTTTACATTTCAAGACCTTCTGAACATTCAGGCATACCTTATATATGTATCAATATATGCATGCTTGTATTATGTATGTGTGTATGTATGGATGCAATTTTTTGTTCACGATTTCTGGCGTACAGATCAATCGATTTGAATGATTCACAAAGCATAGAAATCAAAAGCATTCGATTCCTATTGATGGGAAGACGTGCTGATTTGTTTTTGGCAAAGGCAGGTACAGTCGTTTCGGAGATTTGGGATAAAAAGTGCAGAAAATAAAAATTCAGTTTTGGCCAGACGAGCCATCCTATTAGATTGATTCAAAAGACATTCAATTCATGTTGACGGCAAGACGTGCTAGTGTGTTTTTGGCAAAGATAGGTCCACTCGTTAAGGATATATAGAGCAAAAAGTACTAATCCGATTTGACTTCAGCAATTTTATGAATGCAGAAATGTACAATAGAATTAAGAGTAAATAGATAGACAGGTATATAAGTAGGGAAAAAGAAAAAAAGAAAACTAGATACATGAGAAGGTTGGCAGTTATAACTGGTAGACAGATAGTATATTAGAAAGCCAGATAGTTAGACAAGTAAACAGGTAATCAGGTGACAAAGAAAAAAATGAGAAATGTAGGCAGATAGACTGATAGATTGAGAAACCAATAGATAGATAAGCAAGTGGATTGAGTAGACAGGTAAACAGGTGGACAGGTAGATAAGCAAAAAGGTGGACAAGTGAACAAACTAACAGATAGACAGGTTGAGGTGTACAAGTAGACGGTAATAATTGTAGAAAGGTGGATCATAAATAAATGAAAAAATATATAATGAATCAAGTCGATTACTCACACATATCGGGTAGTTCATGCAACTTGCCACAAGGCAAAATACCAATTACAACTAGTTCGTTTATTTTTTCGTCAGCCCATAATTAAGATACAAGTACCACAAGACGAGCTTTTGAATACATTGCAAATTGTGATTTTTTAAAACTTTCTGAAGGAAATTTTATAGTTAATATGGATTATTATTAATGTCATAGAAAAATCATGTATGTAATAATATATAGGTATTTTCAGATGATTTAGTTATACGAGTTATATTAATAAGTAACATTAAGTTGAACTGGTTTGTTGCAGCTAAGCATGACATTTCATTAAAATAATTTTCACTAAATATTAATCAGTACGATTTTTAATAGGTATTTTCAACATCGGTTCAGAATATAAGTAAATAGCCTCATGGTCTATATTGAGTTTGAGCAAATTACTTTGAACATTTGAAATTAGAAAAACAATTTTCAACAGAACATTGACAATCGGGAAAAAATTCATTCACATACCACTAATCGAGATTATAATACATTGAAACAAGGAGCGAAAATGAAATTATCAGAATTTTTTTCGAGAAGACATATTTGAATTAAGTGTTGTAAGTACTATTGTACTATTCCATTAACTGCTGCATTACAGATCGCAGTCGTGTGGAAAGACGAAGGGAATCGGCCATCTTATTCATGTAAACTCTCGCAAAACCCGTTGTGTTTATTTTAGTAAAACGAGGAGGAGAACGTCGCGAAAACCACGCCTATGTGACAGTTGTCGCAGCATGCCAAGTGTATCGCTCGCACTTATTAAGACGATTGTACTAACGCGAGCGATATAAAAACTAGTGGTGCATGGCATCAAACCTCAAGGAAAATATCTGGAACTTTCCGCAATGTAATTTAACATTTTTAAAAGCTTTAAAAATTCGAGAGAGTCAACATTTTTGTAAATTTTGAAAAAATCAACTTTTTTAAAAACTCTGAAACTTACATTTTTAGAAGCTTTAAAATTTCAAAAGAATGGACTTTTTTGAAAATTTTGAAAAAAATCTTTTTTGAAAATTTTGAAACTCATTTAAGTCGGTCGATGGTGTTGAAAATGTCGAGGAAATGTGCTTGAACTATATAAATGAACTTGAAACATTATAAATCTTGATATGGAACTCTAAGAATTGGAAACAAA